TGTTATATTTATGATTTATAAAAATTAAATAAACTGTTTCAAAGGTAACAAATCTTTGTAATACTTGGTTTATTCACATAACGGTTGTAATTGCTGTATGTTTGCCCCTTTAGCTGTTGGCCTGCAGTAACTGAATTAAGTGCTTTATTAGATATCTAGCCAAGGAACAGAATAATGTAGACACAGACAATCACTACATGGCTACTTGCCTTTAATGGCAGTGAGTGATTAGAAGATATAAGGGCATAAGCAGAAGTAAAGAAACAAACAAACAAAAAAAAATCTGGCACATTCAATTTGCCCTGTAACCGTGAGGAAAAACTCCCAGGCACACATATAATATTTTCACTTGTCAAAGTCCTTTAAAAGATACCTCCTAAGTTTGTGAACTAACTGTATCGGTGAACTGTTAGCTATCCAATTCAAACACACACATACACACACAGACGCACACACACAATGTTATGCAGTCCTGCTGAGAGTGATGTGTTGTGTTTCACATTTCCATGCAGCCACGAGCTACGATCGCTATCAGCCAAGCTGGCTTTGATGTATAAGCTCTCATTCCCTCCGACTCTCTCCCCGCTTTGTCTCACAGTGATGTAGATGGCTACCATTACAGAGATTGACAAAAAAAAAAAAGAAAGAAAAAAAGTAGTTGTGTGCTTGCATGCATGCTCACCGTTTTCTGTTTGTGCACGTGATATCTGTGTGTTCAACTGTGTTTGAGTGTGCAGTCGTGTCTGTTTCTGTGAATCCGTTTGCGCACTGAATAGAGATAGAGGCTCGTTTGTGGTGTCATTGTGAGATTGCACAGCAAGGCTAGAGTCTGGCAACATCAAAGGTTTGCGATGAAGCCTGGTGGCTGGAAAWGTGTCTTCATCACTGCTTATCAATGTTTAACTTAACTGCTTTATCTAGATAGGACCCGTGTTTGTTTAGCCTGTTAGATTGAGGCCAGCAAATTGTACTTGCAGCGCGCCACCTCAGCTTTCTGTGCCAGACAAACAT